TATATATATATATATATATATATATATATATATATATATGGAAAAAGATCATGTCAGCCCATGGGCTGACTGCTACAGTAAACGCCTATGGTCCAGATTGAATCTGGGCCAATCTGGCGATCACGATCTTATTTCGTATTTGAATTTTTTTTTTTTTCTATGTATCCAAATCACTTGAAATTTGGAGTGTCTATTCTAAAATAGTAGAATCTAATAAAAATATAAATAAAATAATTTGTAAAATATAAATTGACCAAAGTACCCCCAAAATATGTCAGAGGTATTTTGGTCAATTTATATTTTACGAATTATTTTTTTTTATATTTTTATTAAGTGCGTCTTGATGAAAATAATAAACAATTCAAATTTCAAGTGATTTGGATTTGTAGAAAAACAATTAAAATTCAATTACACAATGAGGTCATGACCGTCAGATTGGTTCAGATTCAATCTAGGCCATGGGCGTTTACTGTAGCAGTAAGCCTGTGGGCATATGGAATCCACTCCATATATATATATATATAAACTTTTTAAACACCGGTGGAGCTAGGTAAAGACAAGGGATCCTAGACCCAGTACCCCTTTTATGGGCTAACTCGTGCGGTTCGGAGCTAACTTAGCAATTTTCCACAAAGTTTAAAACACCAAAGATGTCTATCACTTTGTTTCTTATGCCCATTTACTAACCTTGCAAACAGACTAAGTACTGCTCAATCAAAGTTTGAAATAATCCACTTAACCGTCTAGGTTAATAGGAAAGGTATGTGACCATTTATTTTTTGTCAACCGTTGGATGTGAAATTGGGTGGACCGTTGGGTGGTTTGTGATATGTAACTAATTGAGCACAAAGTTCAAAAGCAAATTTTTTTGAAAGTTGTGACATATTTTATGAGAAAGGCTTCTATACTTTCCCTATAGCATAGAAGTTCTATCCTCCCCTTACCATCCAGCCGTTCAATTTTGATCAAGAGAGCTATTCATCGTTTGATTTTAGATCCGACGTCTCAAAGTATTTTAGTTTTAGTTTTTTTTATACAAATTATATGAATATGAAATTTGGTACGTGTCATCTTCTCATTGGGGCGCACCTATAAAAAATATTTAAAATAATTTTTCGATAAAATATAATAACCAAAATACCCCTTAAAAATTTCAGAGGTATTTTGGTCATTTTATTTTATTGAAAATATTGTTTTTATATTTTTCGCTAGTGCGAGTTTAATAGAGGAATGGACGTCCAAAATTTGGTGTCAAAATAGTTTATATAAAAAAATAAAAAATAAAATAGTGTAGAGACGTGACATTGTGATTGAGGCAATTTTAGCCCTCCATTCAAAATGGACGGTTAGATAAAAGGGAGGATAGAACTTTTATCCTGTAGAGGAAGCATAGAAAGCTTGCTCATATTTTATCATGTTAAATTTCATATCCAATGACTAAAAAAAATTAAGAACTTTTTGTACCAAAAATAAATGGTCTCATAATACACAATACTATTTAACAATCCACTCGAGGTGATTAGATAGTTAGAGGATAACAACACATGGCCGCTCATGCTTCACAGACAAAAATTCCAAACAATAAGTAAAAATATTCCAAATCACATCAAGATCTAATGTTACCAAACTTAAATAGCATAACGCAATTGCAACAACACATGCATGCATGACCAAGGAGAACCACTATAGTAAATATATGCTCCAAATATAATTAGTATTATTTTCAAGAATGAAAATGAGAGAAACATCCCGATATTAAGTTTTGTTATTTTGTTTCAAAACTACTTTTTCCTTTTTAAAAAAAAAAATGGGAAATTTATGAAAATACCTATTGGAAATGTACTATTAAACATTTTACACATTAACAACTATTCTAAATTTCCAACTCATGATCATACTCTTTTTTTTATTTTATGGGTACCATAAAATTAAATCAAACTACAAGAGTAAAATTTAACTAGTGCATCTCGCATAGAATCTTAATAAATTTCACTTGTTTTAGATATGGTCAAGAGACCGTCTTTCTAGTATGGAACCCTAGGTCTTCGTAATAGGTCTACCTCTCCTACATCATTTCTTTTTATTTTCTTTTAAGGGAAAATTACAAATTACCCCCAAGATTCTATGCAAGTTACCCCAACCAAACTTTTTTCTCACTTTTTTCCCCAAAATAAACGTTTATAGCAAATACCCCCAAGTAAAAAATAAAAAAAGTATTTTATTTATTTATTTATTTATTTATGAAAATACCCTTTTCCGTACATAAAAATTTAACTTTGGCCAAATATTCACGTGGGCTTACATGGGCTGCCGGACTGCTCTTTGATATTGTCGGACCCATTAAACTAAAAAAAGTGCCGAACCGCTCTTTGACCTTGCTGAACCGCACTTTGGGCATGTTGCCGGACTGCATGCGCCTACTTTCAGAACTCTTTTTGGCAGTGCCAGATTCAATAGGCCTATTGTCGAACCGTTCTTTATTAGTGCCGGATTGCCACGTGTACTACTGGACCACCACTATTATTTACTGGACCGACATTACAATGCCGAACCACCCTAAGAATATGTCATGCCGCCTTTTCGTGGAAAAGAGGAGAGAGAGGCGGGGGTAAAACTAAGGAATGATAGTTTAGACTCTTTTTCTTTTATTTGGGTTAAGAGGTATTTGCTAACAAAGTATATTTTGAGGTAAAAAGTGAAAAAAAAAATTAAAAAAAATTGGTTGGGGAGAACTTGCATAGAAAGCCTAATCTTGAGGTTATTTGTAATTTTCCAGACCTTTTATGAGGGTGATGCAAGATGTTTGAATACTTGCTATACGGAATTTAATTAAGGAAAAAAGGTTTATAAGGAAAAAAAGACTATATAAGGTGTTAACCTTATACTATAAAAATAAAATACATTTCAAAAATCAATTAAAAGAGAGTATTCTTCCAATAGAGAACTCTCCAATTGATCATTTCGATCTCAAGATCATTAAATATTAGGGAGAAAAAGGATTTTCAACTAATTAAAATAGTGCATCTTGTAGCAAATTATCTAGACCATTTATTTTTAAAATTTTCAAATGTTCATATGCTTGATTTGTACTTTAAAATTTTAAATTTCATAACTAAGGATGGAAATTGATTATTAAGCGATTATAGGGCTTTCTACATCTGGACCTACATCTTCTGGCAAAATTTAGATATGTCTTACTTCAACAATATCAACAATATAACGAGGCTGCCTTATGTAAACCTCAAAATAAGAGTATACATATAGGGTGCGGTTTCTATAAGGATGCAACCTTAAATAATCCAATTAAGAAGCACCTTAAAAATGTATCATAACATGTAATTTTGTTGAAAATCTTGAAAATGAACGGTCTAGATAATATATTGCAAGATGCACTATTTTTGTGACTCAATTTTTTTTTTTTTCATATTCATACATCTCAATATCAAGATGATCGATTAGAGAGTTTTTTCAACATTAAAACAACATTTTCAATAGATTTTTGAGGTGCATATGTGAATCTACATTTTAAGGTTGCAACCTTACATAAACTTTTCCCATACATATAAGGTTGTGTGTTTCTTATTAGAGAAATGACATTATGAGACCCTCCCACACCATAGGACTCCAAAGGATCACCATTAAATTTTGACACAAATATCTAAAAAAGTTATGACATTGGTGTTGGACTTAAGTAAATGGGTTTTCTAGATATATGTGTCAAAATTTAATTGTAATCCTTTAAGATCCTACTCATATGGGTGTGGGAGGGTTTCATAGTATCATTACTCTTCTTATTATAATATTTATGAGATATGACATTTAATAGCATTGCTTTTAGACACACCCATGATAGGTCTCATGGAAACAAGTTTATATAAAGTTGCAACCCTATACTATAGAAGTAAATTGCACCTCAAAATCCCATAGAAAAGAGCAATTCGATATAAAGTCTTAAAAACGGTGCATCTTGTAACAAGTTATTTAAACCATCTATTTTTAAGATTTTCAAATATTCTTTCTAATTTAAAATTTTATAATTAGAGTGGAACATGGATTTCCAAACCATCATAACGTGTGTGACACCACAATTATATCTTCCAGCAAAATTTAAAAGTGTTACTTGTATAGTATAAGGCGGGTACCTTATACAAACCTCACCCCTTTTTTTTTCAATCCCATATTCTTTCATCTACTTAAACCCCTAAATTTAATGTCGCTTTCTCTCCCTACTGTCTCCTTTTTTTCACCAACTAAAAACCCAATTCTTTATACTTCTTATGTATATCCATTAATGTATCATGTCCATTATGAAGTTATGACGTGCGTCACAATATAAATGAATAGCATTTCTGCTCCATCATCATCCAAGCCTCAAAGTGCAAATGAATAGCCTTTCTTCTTACTAGTCATAAATATGTTTGCTGGAAATCTCCAGTATCTTTTGTTGTATCATTTAGTGTGACAGATATAAGGAAGATCTCTTCCAATTTGATTCTCAATTGAAGATTTTCTGGAATATTACTGACTGGAAGTTATAAGATAGTTACATTCTCATTTTAATCTTTAGGCACATTTGTTCATTCAGTCAAGGGACTGTGTTATCAGATATTCATTTTCATTACCTTTTTCTCTTGCAGACACCTTCCTCCCAACCAAAAAAGGGAACAAAACAAAGGACAGGCAAGCAATCTTATTCATGACCAAGTCCATTAGAATTATCAGTGTCCAAACACTAAATTATTTCATAATCACTCTCTACACACAAGTAAACATTATATGTACTAATTACAACTCTTCCAGATGAGAAGAAAGGCAAACTAAATAATGTTCCAAAAAAAAAAGAGAATTATTTGATTTTTGAAGTAAATATGGTCTTGGGCACCATTCAATTGGATCCCTCAACTAGAGATACAATGTGATCAGTCTAAAACTCGTGAGGGAGAGGGAGTTCAACAGCAAAGAACCTTAGAGAAATCGGCCAACCTCACTGCCACATGAGTAAATGAGTCAGCATTGGCAAAGTAAAATATCAGATCAGAAAACTATAGGCACATTTGTTTATGGGAAAGAACTTTATGAGAAAACTCTTTCCCAAAAGACTGCCATCTTTTTTGATGTCCCTCACAATACAAATAAATAGCAAATGAATAGCCTTTCTTCCTACCACACACTTGTTTGCATGTGTGTGTATAGATTTTTTTTTTTGGGGGGGGGGGGGGAGGAGGGAGAGAGAGAGAGAGAGAGAGAGAGAGTGACGTACCAACTTAGATGGTTTCCTCATGTTGGAAAGAGCAACTGCAATCCTAGCGCCGATGCGCGCATTGTTCTTGACAAGAGCAATGTCTAAGGCTTTGTTAAGGAATGGTCCTCTAATTACTTCAACAAATCAGTGCAATAGGACACAACTCAAAACCATCAACTGAGGAAAATGATCTTGTTTTAGAGGTCTTTGCATGTCCCAGAAAGATTTAATTCAATCAAAATTTGTAAAATGCATTGCTAAGGGCAAATATACCATCAAAAACCTGGACCAGAAAATACAAATGGAGGAAGAGGAAGAGGAAACCAAACATATGAAAACTCCACCTGCGCAGTCCATAGTAACCAGACGGTATTAAATTACTTATCATTCTCCCAAACTGAGGATGCATATCCTTCCCCTATAAAGTTGTATCAATAAAGAGGAACAAGGGAAATATGAACATGAAATGGAAAGGATACTTGCTGCCAGTGAAGCTCCCCCTGTAAGCTCACTCACTCTAGCAAGCAAGAAGGGCGTTTCAGCACTGCCTGTTATGCCATTATCCCTTAGCTCCAATAAAAAAACAACACAACAAAGGAAAAAATCAGGTGCATTAGCAATAATTCTAAGACACAATCGATGAAATGAAAAAAAGGCCAGCCCCAGGGGGGGAGGGGGGGATGATGTACCTAGCTTCCTGAAGTGCTCTCTGGATGGCAGACTCTATCAAACTTCCTGAAGCTGCATGCTCTTCAGGAATAGGCACTCCAAACAAAATCCCACAACCCATGCCTAATTTCTCACTGGAATCTGCAGTAACAGCATAGAAAAATTCCAAATGTAAGAAAAAATCATGTAAGAAAAAGAAGAAGAGTTGTCAGCCTGCTTTGGATTTAAATTTTGGTCACAGCCCTTCACACTAACCTATGAGTCGAGCACATTCCTCTGGTGTATCAACCTGGCACGGTGCCTAAGAAACCCATGTTCCAACACCAAGAAGTCCAAGTTATATCAAAAGCCGATATCTTATAGTAGTGCGAAACATACATGCATGGCATGTACATGAGCAGAAGCTTATTCGTGGGAGTGCATTTATTTGTGAACATATTTATGTGTGTGAACATGTGTACATGTACATGCAACATGCATACATGTACATGCAGGTATGCTGATGTAGGGCTATAAATGTGCGTGCATGCACATGTTAACTTTAATGCATGCATGTCAGAGTTTCCTTTCTCAAACAAGCACAGCCATTAAATTTGTAGTGAACATACGTTCTTCAACGCATGCATGCCAGTGTTTCCTTCTCCACATCCATTAAATTCCTTCTCACTCCCTCTCTCTCTCTCGCTCTCTCTCTCTCTCTCTCTCTCTCTCCTCTCTCTC